CTCTAGTACGAGCACCTCCAGGACCAGCAGCTCCAGCACCTCCAGTACCTCCGGTACCTCCAGCTCCAGCGCCTCCAGCACCAGCAGTATCTCAAGCACCTCCAGTGCCAGCAGCTCCAGTAGCACCTCCAGTACCTCCAGCACCAGCAGCACCAACACCTCCAGTACCTCCAGCTCCAGCACCTCCAGTGCCAGCAGTACCAGCACCTCCAGCTCCGGCAGCTCCAGCACCTCCAGGACCAGCAGCTCGAGGAGCTGTAAAACTCCAAGCTCCAACACCAGAGCGGCCTCGCCGAACGACCCACTCACGAAGCTGCTGCGGTGAGGGCGTCTCGAGTCGACTAGGCGGCTGCTGCTGGCCAACGCCAGGACCTGCAGTAGGAGCACCCACGGCCCCACCACCACTAGGACTCGCAGCACCCCCAGAGTCAGCACCCCCAGAGTCAGCACCCCCAGATTCAGCACCCCCAGAACCCTCACCCCCAGTCTCAGCACCCCCAGGACCAGCACCCCCAGTCTCAGCACCCCCAGGACCAGCACCTCCTGCGTCCTCACCTCCAGTGTCACCACCCCCAGCAGCACCAGTGTCCACAGCTACATGCTGCAGAGGCGGTGAAGACGGTCGAGGCGGAAAACCAGGAGGGGTCTCCAAGCGTGGAGAGCGACGAGTGGTCGCTGTGTCGTCAACAGCGGGGTCACCCCTCTCAGCTGGACCAGAGGTGTCAGAGCAGATCACCAAAGGCTCAACCAAGGGGGGTGGGTCTACCTGAGAGACACCTGAGGGAGGAGGGCCCTGTGGGGGGAGGGGGTCTACCGGGGGGGGAACTGGTACCAGGAAGAGAGGTGCCGGGGGGATCCGGTGGGACGCGTGCGGGTGTAGCCTGTAGAAATAGACCGAATCTTCATAGGTGACGTCCTGGGAGGAGAAGAAGCGACGAGAGCGAGGGTGGTAAAACTGCCACGACGGGGCGTCGGTGGGGCAGCGGAGAGTGCAAGGAGAGAGCTTGTTCGCGGTGGTATCGCGAACAAGGGAGAGCGCGCCCCAGACCCGAAACGCCGACGCATCGCCAACCTCTCCCGTCCAACGGAGTGTGGGCGAGGTCTCTGGAAAAGAGACACGGGGGCAGAGGTTGAGCTGATGCGCGGCGTATCGGACAACAAACGGCCACAGAAAATGGGGAGCAGCCGCATGGATCATGGAGGTACGAGCAACCTCCATGATCAAGCCAATGCGACGCTCAGCAATCCCATTTTGCTGCAGAGAGGTCGGAAGCGGGAACGACTGGACGATGCCCTCGTCTCGACAGAACTTCGCAAGGAGGCCGGAAGAGAACTCACCGCCCCTGTCAGAATGCAGACGCAGGACTGAAAGGTCCCGCCGGAACCGCTCGCGCAGCTGGTGACGAGTAGCGCGGATCCAGGGGATCAAAACACCGCTCACGTCCGCCTTGTTGCGCAAGGGGAAGACGGTGGTGTAGCGCGTGTATTCGTCAACGACCAGCAGGAAGTAGCGCTCCTAGTCCGTACCACTGACGCGGGCGGGGCCCCACACGTCCATGTGGAGAGTTTGCAGAGGAACAGTGGTCAGAGGAAACGAGGAGGAGTGAGGAGCGGCGCGCTGCCGCCCCTCGATGCAGGGAAGGCACGGCGGGGCAGGCGAGCGCGGGAGGGGGGGCAGAGACCTGGGAAGGTCAGAGACAAGGAGACGGGAGTGCATGCAGCACAGACGCGGCAGAGAGGGGTGACCGAGTTGGTGGTGCCAGAGGAGAGTCTGGTGGGAAAGTACCCGACACGAGCAAGACGCTGCAAGCTGACCAGACGCAGACACCTCACTCGACGCAGCCACCTGACCTGACGCAGGCTCCTGGGCAGACGTGTCAAACATTATACATGTTCCTATTGTGTAGGCTATAGTGGGTTTAGCCTTAGGGGGTACAACATTGCTAGGGTTTCCTACTTGTATCACCCTGCTGCCTAGTTTCACACATTTCTCGTTCACTTCTAGATTCTAACAAGACGCAGTGGTCAGTGTGTACAGACTGGACCCAGGCTGCCGAGTGAACGAAGCAAGGTGACGGCCAGTCAGGGAGCACGTACAGATCGCCACTCGCTGTCCCCCAGGGATAAAGGTATCAACCCATACATCCTGAAGGACTGCGTTGCTCACCAAGTTCGTCGAGAACGAGGGGAGGTGGAGACCTGAAAGAGAGCCGGAGGGGACTGCCGGACACTGGAGGACAGTGGAGGCTCGCGCTACTACTGGGCCCCCAGTGGGGTCAGCCAGTGAGACTGGGACAGGTGCTGCGAGCGGTGTGAATGTGGTGCAATCACGAAAGAAGCAACGTGATGCGCTTGAGTCAAGTGTGAAAGTGTGCAAGGCCTCAGCTGAGGCAGGACCAGTGGCGGTAGACGCACTAGCACCTAGAGCTGCAGCAGACTCACTAGCACCTAGAGCGGCAGCAGACTCACTAGCACCTAGAGCAGCAGCCTCTACACAACCAGGGACGCCTCGCAGAGAAACACAGTCGCGGAGCCGCTGCGGGGAGAAGGTCTCCTGCTGACGCTGCTGCCGCCGCTGTCCAGTACCCATATAACCATAACCTCCACCACCTGGACGGCCTCGCCGAACGACCCACTCACGAATCTGCTGTGGCAAGAGAGTGTCTGGGTGCGCGGGCTGCCGCTGCTGTCCAGCACCTCCAGCACCTCCAGCACCTCCAGCACGATAACCTCCACCACCAGGACGGTCTCGTTGAATAACCCACTCGCGAAGCTGCTGCGGTGATAGAGTGTCCGGGTGAGGCAGTGGCTGCTGTTGTCCACCCCTAGACGCTGCTATGACCGTGATAGTGGCCATGACAGGCAGTGGCAGTCAGTAGCAGCGGCGCAAGGGCGTGAGTAGCAGCTGATGTAGCTGCAGCTGTAGTAGTAGCGGTGGTCGCTGTGGGTGCAACAGCAGTAGCAACTGTTGGAGTGGTTGTGCGTGGGTAGTAGGGCACGAGCTAACAGCAGTGCGCGGGCAGAGCAAGCACGTGGGCGGTAGGTCAGCACGGGCTGCAGGGCGCACGCGGGCTACAGGGCGCACGCAGGGCGGAGGGCAGCAGAGGCGCGCGGGCTGCAGAGCTGGGCAGCGCGCGGGGTGCAGTGGCGAGCGCGGCTGCAGGGGCGAGCGCGGGCTGCAGGGGCGAGCGCGGGCTGCAGGGGCGAGCGTGGGCTGCAGGGGCGAGCACTGCTGCAGGGGCGAGTGCGGGCTGTATGAGCGAGCACGGCTGCAGGGGCGAGCGCGGGCTGCAGGGGCGAGAGCGGCTGCAGGGGCGAGCGCGGGCTGCAGGGGCGAGCGCGGGCTGCAGGGGCGAGCGCGGCTGCAGGGGCGAGCGCGGGCTGCAGGGGCGAGCGCAGGCTGCAGGGGCGAGCGCGGCTGCAGGGGCGAGCGCGGGCTGCAGTGGCGAGCGCGGGCAGCAGGGGCGAGCGCGGGCTGCAGGGGCGAGCGCGGCTGCAGGGGCGAGCGCGGGCTGCAGAGGCGAGCGCGGCTGCAGGGCAGGGCGGCGCGCGGGCCTAAGGGCAGGGCAGCGCAGCGCGCGGGCTGCAGCGCAGGGCTGCGCGCGGGCCTAAGGGCAGGGCCGAAAACTTTTACGGGCAGGGCAGGGCGGAACGTTCGGTGGGCCCTAGGAACGATCATGCTCTAATACCATGTTAAAATAGGAAGACAGGAATGATGAATGACTAGCAACAGGGAGATACAAGTATGAAACCCTAACTGGGGTTGTTGTACCCTATACTGAGCACCTCACTGTAGCCTAGCAGAACTAAGAACATAAAAATATGTTTTGACAGAATGTACCCCCTCTTAGTACATGGCTAGTTAGGACCTTTCGCATTCCCCTGTATTCCTATATAAACCCTTGTACCGCATTGTAATAGTCACTTCTGTCGAGATTCAAATCTCCTTCTGACAGGGTCCGTACCCGACTTCACTTGCAAACTTCCGCTGCTACACTTTTATGAGATCAAACTGAGACGGTCCTAAACCCGTCATTTCAGATTGTAACAAAGCTTAGTCAGCCTACGCTCCGGGAAGCCAGAGCCTCGCTGCAATAATTGAATAGGCTAGCTCGCAGCATCGCGTTACCGTTGTATGCGTCTTTTGCTATTCACATTGTCAATTTTTGTCCCTTTAGTGCAATCCTCGCCTCGCTCGCTCGTTCAGTTGCACTCGTAATACAGACCCAGTATTTATATAACATGAGATAATATTAAAAAATAGTCATTCTCTTTATTTGCATTAGTTGGCCATAAGAACTGCAACTACCGTCTCACAAGTTTTGATTGCGATATACCAGCCTGACTCTTGTAATCATGCATAGCCGCATAATGAGGATAGCAGTCACGACGCGCTAGTTGTCAGGCTCCTCTTTTCCCCTGGGCTGGCCCCCACGCGCAGGTGAACCTGCACCTGAAAGCCCCTCGATGTAGCTCTCGGAATTATATATCTCCGTTTTAGTCTCCCCATTCTCGACTCGTCAGCCATGGCGGGGAATCTGGCTCGTCGAGACTCGCATTGTCAGGCGATTGTGGCTCTTGTCGCGTCGCTCCTCGCGCTGTCGCTCGCCGTGTCGCATACCGTCGCCGAGTCCGATTTCAGTTCGCAGAAGAGGTAACAAATGGTAAATTTCTTGGTTTATGTCGTTTAGGAAGAACAGTACACGCTCGACGGCCTTGGCCTTTTGTTCACTACGGCAATTCAACGCACCCCGGAATTCTGGAAACTCTAGAAACTAGTCATTCCGTGTGCTTTCGTGTGGTGACGGTGAGGCGGCAGTTCGCACTTCTTGAAACACTAAAACTGTCGCACATAAGGGGAAGGTTCGCACGTAAGGGGAAGGTTCGCACATAAGGGGAGGGTTCGCACTGATTCGTGTCAAAAGGCAGCAGAACGCGCCATTTGAGACGCTAGAAACGTGGCTTCGAGAAGAGGGGCCGTGATTGCTGGATTAGAGACCATGGGCGAGTGCGTGGCGCGGGAGAAGCTGAGCACTGAAAGGGGAAGCGGGAGGATGGGGAGGCGGGGGGGTGGGGAGGCGTGGCGATGGGGAGGCGTGGCGATGGGTAGGCGGGGGAAGATTGCGCGGGGCGAGTGCGCGAGGCGGGAGGAGCTGAGCATTGAGATTGACGGTATGGGGGAAATGCGGTGGAACGTGGAGGCAGGGGGGGCGTGTGACGAGGAGGATGGGGAGGCGGGGGAGTGTAGGGGGATGGGGAGGCGGGCGGATGTAGGGGGATGGGGAGGCGGGCGGATGTAGGGGGATGGGGAGGCGGGCGGATGTAGGGGGATGGAGAGGCGAAGGGGGGGGGGGTGGGGTGACTTCAAGTGGAGTTGAGGTGGAGGGAGGGAGTAGATGCTGTGGTATGGGTGAATGCTGGCAAGGGAGAGACATGCCATCATCATGACATCACGATGACATCATGATGATATCACCATGACATCATGGTGACGTCTCCACCATGGCACTATCACTACGCGCCTCACACAGCTTGCCCTGTTTCATTACATCCACACATTGCCCATCTTATGCCCATGCTGCTGTATCCCTTTCCCTCTCACTCCACCACCCCACCCTCACACCACTCCTCACCACCCTCACTCACACCACTCCACACCTCTCGTCACGCCATCCCTATGTGACATGCCATCTCCATCCATACATCACCCCATGTCAATTACTCTCCATCCATGCATCACCCCATATCAAGCACTCTCCATCCATGCGTCACCCCATATCAAGCACTCTCCATCCATGCGTCACCCCATGTCAAGCACTCTCCATCCATGCATCACCCCATGTCAAGCAGACTCATTGCTTCTGGCGATAAGCAGCAGCAGCATGAGGAAGGGAACGCAACGAGCCCTCAAGCAGGACCAGGCATCCCCATCGACCCCTCTCGCATCACTCGCCTGTCATGGCAGCCCAGGTGAGTTATGAGGAGGAGGGGCAGCAGGATGGGAAGGCAACGAAGGTGCAGGTAGGGAGAGAAGGGCATCCCCATTGACCCCTCTCTCATCACTCGCCTGTATTGGCCGCCCAGGTGAGCAGACAGGAGGGCTGGTGAGAGGCGAGTGGGTGGGGCAAGGCGAGTGGGTGGGGCAATGGGAGAGGGTGGGGCAAGGCGAGTTGGTGGGGCAATGCGAGAGGGTGGGGCAAGACGAGTGGGTGGTGCAATGCAAGAGGGGCGAGTTTGCTCAACCTGGTTGCAGGCAGGCAGGAAGGGGCATCCCCATTGACCCCTCTCGCGTCGTTCGCTTGTCATGGCAGCCCAGGTGAGCAGACTGAGCGTGGGTGGTGAGAGCAGAAAGAGTGGTGGGATGCGAGTGGACGGAAACTAAAGGGCTGTGGGGAGAATTGAGGACATAGTGGGTGTGTGAGGAGTGAAGTGAAGGGAGAGCTAGGGAAAAAAAAGGTGGGATGCAGTGTGCTGTGAGAGTAGGGTTGTTCTGTAGGGTTGCTCTCTAGGGAACCTCTTTCTCTCCGTTCGCTCTCCGCCGTCGTTTCAGTCAGAGTGTGCTGCTGCATGCATTTCGAGCCACGCATTACTACACGCGGACACATGCGCTGCTGCAGCCTGCAGCAATGCACGCATCCACTGCAGCATGCAATCGACTTGGGCTGTTGGTGGAGTGTACTCCCCTTCCTAATGTTGACATAAACGCTATGCTCTGTTTCATCTCTGCTTCTTGGGATGGCATAAATGCCAAACGATGAGGCCGTACGAACACTGCCGCCCAATGCTGCCCAATGCCGCCCAACGCTGCCCAATGCCGCCCATGCAGGGCCTTCCTGTACTCGGGCTTTCTCTCCCACGACGAGTGCGACCACCTCATCACCCTCGTGAGCCTCTCTCGCGTCTCTTCCTTTTTCATTCTCTTCCTTTTCCTTAGCCACTTTCTCTTTACTCCTCCAGGATTCTCGAACCCCTCTGCTCTTCTTTCTCTTCACTGCATTCGCTTCCCCTTCCCTCCTTTTCCTCCTCTTCTCTCCCTTCTCTGCTGTCCCTGCTCTCCCTCCCACACTCCTCGCTTCCCCCACTGCTTCCCCCAGTTGTCCCCTTGCCTTCATCTGATCACATGCCTCATCTCTCCTTTTTCTCTCCACGTACATTTTTGTCGCGCAGAATTCTCCTTCCCACACTCCTCCTCGCCTCCCCTCCCCCATCGCCCCACCTTCAACAGATCACATGTCTCATCGCTCCCTTTTTCCGTTTCTCCCTCAGGCCCCACACAGGGTGGCACGAGTGTTCGTGGGGGGGGGCAGTTTTGAGTCGACTCAAAACACGGGGCCCAGCAACTTGAATCTATGTCTTTTCTTTTCTTCTCCCTCGTTTTACTCACCACTGTGAGTGACCAGTGGAAGACAACGAGTCAGGCAAGAGTGTGCTGAGTGATGTCCTTTTTCCCCCCCACCCCTGTCATTGCCCGCACCCCCCACATCCCTCCTCCCATCAGGTGCGTGACAAGGTGACGCGCTCATCAGTAGCGGACAACCAGTCGGGCAAAAGCGTGCTGAGTCAGATCCGCACGAGCTCCCCCCCTCCCACACACAACCCCCACATCCCCAGCATCTCCCGCATCCCTCCCCTCCTCTCCCAGGCACGTGACAAGGTGACACGGTCATCAGTAGCGGACAACGAGTCGGGCAACAGCGTGCTGAGTGGGATCCACACGAGCCCCTCCCTCCCAACACAACACACCCCCCACTTCCCACCTCCACCCTTCCTTCTCCCTCCCTCCACAACACGCCCTCCCAGGCACGTGACAAGGTGACGCGCTCATCAGTGGCGGACAACGAGTCGGGCAAGAGTGTGTTGAGCGCGATCCGCACGAGCTCAGGCACGTTTCTCAACAAGTATCAGGACGACGTGGTGAAACGCATAGAGGAGCGCATCGCTGCTTGGACCTTCCTCCCCAAAGGTACCGGTCCGCCCCAGAAGGTATGCTTGCTGCACAACAGAACTCCGCCTCCCTGAATTCGCACGAGCTCAGGCACGTTACTCAACAAGTACCAGGGCGGCGTGGTGAAGCGCGTAGAGGAGCGAATTGCCGCATGGACCTTCCTCCCCAAAGGTGGCTCCCTCCTCCTCCCCAGTCCAGAGGTACCTTCCTTCAGATGGTAACCTCTGTCTGTCCCAACAGCAGCGCTCCCCCTTGCATCCGCACGAGCTCAGGCACGTGCCTCAGCAAGTACCAGGTCGACGTGGTGAAACGCATAGAGGAGCGCATCGCTGCATGGACCTTCCTGCCCAAAGGCGACCAGCACTTGTCCAAAGGAATCGTTCCTCCCGTGTATCCACACGAGCTCAGGCACTTATTCCTCCCAGGAACCTCTCCTCCTCCTCTTAAGAGCTCAGCCACAGCAAGTGTCAGAACGATGTGGTCAAGCGCGTAGAGGAGCGCATTGCTGCATGGACCTTCCTTCCCATTGGTGCCCCTCCGCCGCTACAGCTGGCTCCACCAATAGGCACAAGCTTGGGCATCATCTGAGTCGCTTTTGAGATTCTCAAAACCGTTACTGGGACTTCTTGAAGAGTATCCTTCCTGGCTCAACAGCTGGCTCCGCCAAAAGGCACGAGCTTAGACAACAAATGCCCTCTCTCTCTCTCCAAGAGTGCTCTTCCTGCCAAAAGGTACCTTTTCTAGCTGACTGGCTTTCTTAGTCCCCAGTGGTGGCCCTTCCTGTTGATGCCTTGACTCCCTCCTCCTCTCCCCGTTGTCATTCTCTTGTGCCTCACCAGAGCACGGCGAGGCCGTTCAGATCCTCAAGTACGAGATCCGGCAGAAGTACGACGCTCACTTTGACTGTCTCCACAGCAGGCCACGCTCATTGCCCTGCTTTCCACTCATGCCTTGCTCCCCTTGTCCTCTCTCGCTCCTCCCTCGGTGTGCCCTGCCAGAGCACGGCGAGGCGATTCAGATTCTCAAGCACGAGAGAGGGCAGAAGTACGATGCACACTTTGACTACTTCCACATCAGGCCACCCTCATTCCCCTGCTCGTGTGTTGCTGGCCTCGTCCTCATTTCTCTCTCCCTCTCGTCCTCCCTCTCTCCCTTGGCACTTCAGAGCACGGCGAGGCGATTCAGATTCTCAAGTACGAGAAAGGGCAGAAGTACGATGCACACTTTGATTATTTCCACTCCAGGTTGTGCTTGATTCCCTGCCGGCTACTCATCCTTGCTCCCCTTCTCCTCTCTTTCTCTCTTTCCCGTGTGCCCCACCAGAGCACGGAGAAGCCATTCAGATTCTCAAGTACGAGATAGGGCAGAAGTACGACGCGCACTTTGACTATTTCTTCGATGCAGTCAACACACAGATGGGCGGGCACCGCGTGGCGACGGTGCTCATGTATCTCACCACCGTGGAGGAAGGAGGAGAGACCGTGTTCCCCAGTTCACAGGTGTGTAATGTGTCATACCAGGGTTGTGTGTGTGATTACCCGGATGGGCGGCCACCAGGTGGCGACGGTGCTCATGTATCTCACCACCGTGGAGGAAGGAGGAGAGACCGTGTTCCCCAGTTCACAGGTGTGTAATGTGTCATACCAGGGTTGTGTGTGTGATTACCCGGATGGGCGGCCACCAGGTGGCGACGGTGCTCATGTATCTCACCACCGTGGAGGAAGGAGGAGAGACCGTGTTCCCCAGTTCACAGGTGTGTTGCTGGAAAGAAAGGGGGTTAGGCGTGTCAGCGCACGGATGGGCGGCCACCGGGTGACGACGGTGCTCATGTATCTCACCACTGGGGAGACACGTGTAATGAGGTTATTTTTGAGACGTCTCAAAAATAACCTCATTACTCATGTATCTGACCACTGGGGGAACCCTCTTTCCCAGTGCTCATTTCAGGCGCCTTTTCAGTGCCTCGTGTGCTGGTGGCGTGGGTGCTGGCATTATCAGGCCATGCATGGCAGCACAAGAATGGGCGGTCACAGAGTGGCCGCAGTGCTCATGTATCTTAGGAGTGTTGAAGAAGTGTGAGAGACAGTGTTTCCCAATGCACAGGTATCATGCTGCTGGTGCTGGAAAGAGGGGGTGTAGGCGTGTCAGCGCACAGATGGGCGAGCACAGGGCGACGGTGCTCATGTATCTGACCACGGTGGAGGAAGGAGGGGAGACAGTCTTGCCCTAGTTCACAGGTGTGTGTCGCCAGTGGTTCATGTGGTGGGAGTGAGAGAGGGATTAGGCATGTCAACACACAGATGGGTGGCAACGGTGCTCATGTATCTCACCACGGTGGAAGAAGGGGGAGAGATCATGAGCACCGTTGCCAGTTCACAGGTGTGTGTTTGTTGCCTCGTGTGGTATTGGTGGTTGGTACTATGGGACAGCAGGAGTAGGCGTGTCAACACACAGATGGGCAGCCACTGGGTGGCCACGGTGCTCATTTATCTCACCACGGTGCTCATTTATCTCACCACGGTGCTCCTTTATCTCACCACGGTGCTCCTTTATCTCACCACGGTGCTCCTTTATCTCACCACGGTGCTCCTTTATCTCACCACGGTGCTCCTTTATCTCACCACGGTGCTCCTTTATCTCACCACGGTGCTCCTTTATCTCACCACGGTGCTCCTTTATCTCACCACGGTGCTCCTTTATCTCACCACGGTGCTCCTTTATCTCACCACGGTGCTCCTTTATCTCACCACGGTGCTCCTTTATCTCACCACGGTGCTCCTTTATCTCACCACGGTGGAAGAAAGGCCTCTTCTCTCCTCTCCTCATTCCCGCTGTCCCTTCGCTCTCCCTTCTCCCTCTGTCCCCTATCCCCTCTCCCCGCCCGTCCACATGCCCGATCATCTCTCTCTGCCCGTACCACTTCTCATCATCCAACCCAGGCCTCCCATGGACGTCACTGGGTCTAACTGTGCACACACAAGCCTGCCCCTCCGCTTCCTCTAACTCCCCTCCCTTCTCCCCTGCTCCTCTCCGCACTCCCCCACATGTGCCCTTCAACATCCCCCCTCACCACCCAGCCTCAGCCTCCTATGGGCGTCACTGGGTCTAACTGTGTGCCCTTGGCCTGCCCCTCCGCTTCCTCTAACTCCTCGCCCCTCTCCCCCGCTCCTCTCCGCACTCCCCTACACATGCCCTTCCCCACTTCCCCTTTGTTCCCAGCCTAGGCCTCCGATGGACGTCACTAAGTCTGAATGTGCGAACAGAGGCCTGGCAGGTGCGCTCGCGGGGAGGTGCTAGTATGGGGTTGCGTGCGTGTGTGGGTGTGTGCGGGTGTGTGCGTTTGTGTGCGAGTGTGTGCGGGTGTTTGCAGTTGTGTGCAGTTGTATGCGCGTGCGGATGTACATGTGTGTGTGGGGGGGCGTGCGTGTGCGCTCGTTCTGTTTCAGCCAACGCACGAAGGGCGTCCTGCATCTCGTGGCACTTGCATGGTCTGTTGATGACTTGCCTTGATGTCAGATCTGCCCTTGAAGAATGCCATTCATTCATCATTGGAACCTCTCTCCTAACCTATGCACCCAACCCCCACCCTCCCGCTTCCCTCCATTCGCCCAGCCCATGATGCTCTTCTACTCCCTCCACCCGGACGGCATCATGAGCCTGTCATCATTACACGCCCTCTCCCAATGCCTCAGCATCCTTCCAACCACACAAACAATCACCCCTTCTACTCCCCCCCCCCACCCCCCTTCCTGCCTTTTCCCTATTCTCCTCACTCTCTTCCCTTTCATCAGTCAAGCCCCAGAAGGGAGATGCTCCGCTCTTCTATTTGCTGCATCCAGATGGCACCACGGACCAGTCATCATTGCACGCCAGCTGTCCCAACTGCCTCTGCACGCTCCCCTCCCCCTCCCACCCTCCCCCACCGTTCTCCCCATTCCCCTGCCCCGGCTCTCCCACCCGCCTCCAGTCAAGCCTCAGAAGGGCGACGCCCTGCTCTTCTATTCTCTGCATCCGGACGGCACCACGGACCAGTCATCATTGCACGCCAGCTGTCCCGTCATCAGAGGGGAGAAGTGGTCGGCAACCAAGTGGATCCACGTGCGCTCCTTTGAGGCGCGGCCCTTGGCACATGGCTGCGAGGATTTGAACCCTAAATGCGAGGAGTGGGCGGCGCTAGGCGAGTGTAAAAAGAACCCGGCGTATATGCTTGGGGATGGGGCGTACACTGGGAACTGTAGAAAAGCTTGTAAGGCATGTTAGAAGAATTGTTTTGTGTTTCTGGGCCCTGCCAAAAGCGCTCTGTTTTCTATTAGTGCTACGGTATGTGACACATTGAGAAAGCTTGCTTTCTGTTATTGCAATGGCAACGTGCTTCATTAGAATTGCAATAAGACTAGTTTTCTGCTTGAATGGTAGACCTAATAAAGACTTAAAGCTGCGGCCTACATACCTCACGCGGGAGGCCTGAGTTTATCACTTGAAAACCAGGTTGCTGTGAGCTTCAGTGGCGAGGATTTGTGACCTCCGCAACCCCCCCCTGAAAATTCGCACTCTCAGGATTGGCTCATCAGTTTCGCCAAACCCTAAACCGCTCGAAACGTTTGAGGATTCGCCGAGGGTTGTTCTCCCACCCGAGTTTTTTTCACGAAACTGGCGGGATTCGCCAGTCTTGTTTGACCCCTTCGCACCCCCATTTCAGGACAAGGGTCACTTCGCAAGCTAATCAGAGTGAGTCCTAGGGTGTCCACGCTAATTGTACCCCAAAAAGGCATTTATGTATGTAGACCGCAGCTTTAAGGGAGATGAATTACAAACGAGCATGAGGTTCTGTCTAGGGACCTATCCCGCATGACAAGGAGTGGCGTCTCGGTTCTGTTACGTTATTCGTTACCAGTGCCGCATGCCCCTGGCGAAGCCTGTTAAATCTTCGCGAAGCTGAGCTGGCCCTTGGAGATCACTTTCGCGAGAACTAACCCGCCTTGTAGTCGCCACTTGAACCTGCTCGCGTTTCATCAAAGTGTCGTTTTCAGGCCCCGACGAAACCGCCAGCAATGACATAAAATGGCGTGAAGGGAACCCAAGTCCGCAAGTTCGGATTGGTCGTTCCACGATCCACGACGACGTGGCGTTTCAAAATGCCTTGCGAGGCGAACCCACGTTACAACGTTGTGGTAACTTGGAATGCGTAGAAGGCTAATATATGAAGTGATCTGTTTAGTTTCGAAGCGGCAGGCGGCGCGACGGTTGCCTGACGTTGAGGAGGACGTGTTGTTAACGGCATACGTCCTAGCATTTTAGCGACGCATCTAGCCGTCCGTCAGGATGATCGATGGCGCAGCGCTGCTCCCCGCGCAGGTGCTGCGCAACCTCTCCGACAAACTCTACGACAAGCGCAAGGCGGCCGCGCTCGAGGTGCGCGGACAGTAGGGTAGAGGGAAAGCCGGGGGAACGGGAGCAGGGGAGAAACAACGCCTTTTTCTCGTTACATCTCTCGGCCACTCTCTGTTTTTCCCATCCGAGAGAGTGCTGTGTGACACCTGCCACTCAGCACCTCGTCCGGCCGGGTCCTCCCCCATTGTGCGACATGTGCTGTGTGTGCAGATCGAGACAGCAGTGAAGGCGCCTGTAGCAGAGGGGAACGATGAGAGAATCAACTTCACTTTCCTCACTCTCTTCCCCTCACCCGGCTTTGCCCCACCTCCCGTTCCCCCCATTGTGTTACATGAGTTGTGCAGATCGAGACGGCAGTGAAGGCGGCTGTAGCAGAGGGCAACGATGAGCGGATCAACGCAATAATTTCCCTGCTGGCCAATGATTACGCCACGTCAGCACAGCCGAACCAGAGAAAGGTGGGTGGCAGAGGGGACACGGAGGGAGCAAGGAGGGGCGCGGACGAATTGCTCTACCCTCCAATCTACCAACAAGCTACTGCTGCTGCCCTGCCCCCATTCTCGCGCACATCAACTAAACCAAACCTCCCAGCGCAATGCCTTTTCCCCTTCTTCCCCCACTCTCTCCTTCTCCTGCCTGCACCCGCCCCCCCGCGCCCCTCTTGACCATGGCCGCAGGGGGGTCTCATAGGGCTGGCGGCCGTCACGGTGGGGCTGGGGCCTGACGCCAGCCAGTACCTCGATGTACGTGTGGGGGGGGGAGGCATTGAACGATTGGGCATGAGATGTTGTTTTCATTTCATGGCATTGCATGCGGCATGGGGATGTGTGCGCCCTTCTCTCATAGGGCTGGCGGCGGTCACGGTGGGGCTGGGACCTGACGCCAGCCAGTACCTCGACGTACGTGTGGGGGAGTAAGGAGGGGCGGGTTGGGTAGTGCAATACACGTAGTCATGGTGCAATACACGTAGTCATGGTGCTCTCATGGCTCATAGGGCTGGCGGCTGTCACAGTGGGGCGGTTCCCTGACACCAGCCAGTACCTCGATGTTCGTGTGGTGGGGGGGGGGGAGGGGAGAGAGAGGGGCGTGGTGTGTGTGCTGTGCTGATGCACGTGGGGATGGTGCTTCCATCTGCATGCCTTACCGTCGGAGTCTCATAGGGCTGGCGGCTGTGTGTGACCGTGGGGCTGGGCCCTGATGCCAGTCAGTACCTTGATGTATGTACGTGTGGGGGGGTGGGGGGGGCTGCGGAACGAGGAGGTGTGGAATGGAAGGAATGTTGATGCCCAGGTGGCTGGAGCCTGGCGGCTGTGACCGTGAGGCTGGGGCCAAACTTTTGAGTCGACTCAAAAGTCGGAACGAGGAGGTGTGGAATGGATGGAATGTTGGTGCCCTAGTGGCTGGCGGCTGTGATCGTGGGGCTGGGGCCAGACGCCAGTCATGTTGATGCTGCTTTTGAGTCAGTACCTTGATGTACGTGGGGGGGGGTGGGGAGCCTGGCAGAAGGGGCATGGAATGATGCACCCGTTGGCGTTGCCTGTGGTATGGGGATGCGCACACACACACACTTCCGCCTTTGTCTGGGGTCTCATAGGGCTGGCGGCTGTCACACTGTGGGGCTGCCTGGGCCCTGTCGCCAACTCGATGTACGTTGGGGGGGTTGGCAGGGTGGGAATGGGATGGGATGGTGCATCCATGATCCATGGCACTGCATGCAGTATGGGGGAGTGTACCGTGTACATGCACGCCTCACTCTTTTGAGTCGACTCAAAAGTCACCTCGCTGCATGCAGTATGGGGGAGTGCACTGTGTACATGCACGCCTCACTCGCTGTTCCTCATTGAGCTGGCAGCTGTGATGGTCACTGGGGTGGGGGGGGCTGGGCTGGGGACCTTGATTCCAGCTACCACCTCCGTCCATGTATGTGGGCGGCTTTCTGGATTCGAACTGTTTCAGGCGATTTTCCCTTGAGTGCTTCAGCGTTTTTATGCGTTATATTCCATGCCATTGACAGATCATCTCACGATGTTCTCAGCCCCTTGCTGCACTCGAGCTTCCTAACCTTCCCTGCCTGTCCGCCTCCCGCATGTGTACCCCCATGCACTGCATCCCACTACCACCCCACCCCCCCGTCCCCACATCATAATGCCTGGCCTGGGCATCAACTCTTTCCCCTTCCATCCATACACTCTTAACTGTCCGAGCCCTTTTGCTTGAGTCGACTCAAAAACACGCTTCCATCCATAGACTCATAATGCCTGGGCACCAACACTTTCCGCTTCCATCCATAGACTCTTAACTTCCAAAGCCCTTTTTTTTGCCCGTTGCTTCCTACCCTGGTGTTCCCCTCTCTGTGCGCGCCATGCACTGCACTGCATGCACCTCATCCATCCCCACCCCAGCGCATCGTGCCCGAGGTGCTCAAGTCGTTCTCAGACTCGGACAGCCGAGTGCGCTACTGCATCACCTGCCACTCCCTCCGCAACCCTCTCCCTTCACTACCCCCTCTTCGCCCATCTCTCCATCCCCCAGCGCATCGTGCCCGAGGTGCTCAAGTCGTTTTCAGACTCCGACAGCCGGGTGCGCTACTACGCCTGTGAGGCGCTCTACAACATCGCCAAGGTGAGGCCCTACCCCTAACCTTGCGCTTTCTGCGTGCCATTGCACCAAGGTGACTTGTGAGTTGACTCAGAATGACAGCCGAGTGCGCTACTATGCCTGTGAGACGCTCTTCACGCTCTAAATGGGTATGCGAATGAATGAGTATCCATACAATCCACCGTGCATGCACCTAACTAAAATGGGTGGAATGAACGGTGCATGCTGTTCATCTGAGGCGCGTCATGAATCGATACAGATGATATGCGTGCATGCAAGGTGAGTACCCTTCACACACACTGCGCATCTTGCGTGCACCCCCTCCCTCCCTCCGGCCTATCACCAGGTGACACGTGGCGACTTCATAGTGTTCTTCAATGATGTGTTCAACGCCCTGTGCAAGCTGTCTGCTGACCTGGACCCCAACGTGCAGTCCGCCGCCCACCTGCTGGACAGGCTCGTCAAAGTGAGTGAGAGAGTGTGAGCGATTGTTTAAAGAAAGAGAGTGGAAGTGTGAGGGAGTGTGTGGGAGTGTGAGGGGGTGTTCAACACACTCTGCAAGCTGTTTTCTGACCTGGACCCCAACGTGCTCACCTGCTCACCTGCTTGACAGGCTTGTGAAGGTGAGGAGCGAGCGAGTGAGTGAGTGAGTGTGTGAGCGTGAGTGCGTGAGTGAGTGAGCTCCTCGCCTGCTGCTCTTGGCGAAGACTATGGCCATATCTTGAAGCGGCAGCAAAGAGGCTTTAGGAGGCAGGGAATCAGAACGCTGGTTCGTAACCCTCTTAAGACTGATACGTCCACCATCCACTCCATCAGCACTCATTCCACACTACCCCTCCATCTACCTGCTCCACCACCACCCCTTCTCATGCTCGCCCTCTCTACAGGACATTGTCACGGTCAGCGACCAATTCAGGTGCCCTTCCACCTACCCCCATCACCACCTCTCTCTGCCCGGATCCGTCGCCTTCACTTCTCAATTCCTTCCCCATTCCTGCTGTCTCCTCTCGTTCCCATCCACCGCCTTTGTTGCTTGTTCCATTTTAACATATACTCTCTGCTGTTTCCGCTCTCCCATGTGGTTTTTCTTTGCACATACTAACTGGCCACCACGCTCCTGCTGTCCCCGATCTACCCTTCCTGCTGTCCCCTCACCGTTCCATCCCATTGCAACGCGGCTTGCCCCAATTGCGTACCATTGTTCCTCCGCTCCAACGAGAATCCTGAATAATGATGCTGCAGGGTGGCGTGGTCCAACGCCACCCTGCAGCATCCAACGAGAATCCTGAATAATGACTCCAACGTAGTTTGAATAACATTTTTTCAGCCGACTCGAAAGTCGGGTCAATCTCCTCTTGATTTTCCCTTGCTCAAAAGTAATACACTTTGCCGTGGAGCACTATTTGCATCACCAACCATGACAGCAATAATATTTTCAGAAGACCACCTGAAAGAAATAGGCGGGTGGAGTTGAGATATGGAGAACCCTTTATTCCCCCATTCCACCATGCGTGCAGCATAGAGGAGTTCATCCCGCTCCTGCGAGCGCACATGAGCGTGCTCAACCCCTTCGTGCAGCAGTTCCTGGTGGGCTGGATCACCGTGCTGGACAGCGTGCCCGACATTGACATGCTCGGCTTCCTGCCCGACCCCCAGGATGGTGGGTTGTAGTGGGGCGGGGCGTTGCCTCTGCTAGCACGGTTTGTGTGTGTGGTGTGGTGTGGTGTGGTGTGGTGTGGTGTGGTGTGCCATGGACTGGCAGCGCGTGCCCACCATCGATCGACATGCTCGGCTTCCTTCCGACCCCCAGGATGGTGGGTTGGGTTCTTGGTGCACGGCTGTTGTGTATGCCTCCTGAGTCAAGTCAAGTCAAGTCAAGTCAAGTCAAGTCAAGTCACCAAGATCACTGTGCTGGACATCGACATGCTTCCCTTCCTGCTCGACCCGCTGTGTCTCTGCCACTACGGCATTCTTCCTCCTAGTATTCCTCCACCCTCACCGGCCACTCTCCGTCCCTCTCCAGGCGGAGGAATATGGGCGAATGATGGATCCTGGTGCAGCGAGCGAGCATGATAGAGGGTAGAGAGCACGTACAGTGTGTTGTTCCCTTTTACCTAAGTTGCCATCTCCCTTCCCCCCTCTCTTTCCCAGGCCGTGGAGTACGGGCGAATGATGGAGATCCTGGTGCAGCGAGCGGGGTCCTCGGATGAGTTCACTCGCCTCACTGCCGTCACATGGGTATGCCATTCTCATTCTGATTGTACAAGTTTTTTTTCCCCTTCTTGTTGATCATGTCATCCATGTGATTTCATGTTGCAAGCTGATGCATGCTCTGTGCTCTGCTGCTCTCAACCCACATGAAGGACTTTCTTTGTTGCCCTCTGCCGCTGATCTCATGCAGATCAACGACTTTGTGAAGCTGGGGGGAGCGCAGATGATGCCGTACTATGCGGCTGTGGTGGGCGCCATTCTGCCCTGCATCGCTGACCGCGAGGAGAAGATCGCTGCGGTGAGTGGGACTTACAACGTGTTGAACGTACCAAGACGAAGCTCGTATTGCCATTGCCTTATGCTGCTTCTGTGGTGCATCGTTGACCTTGAGGAGAGGGCTTGCTGCTGCTGTGGTGGGCGCCATTCTTCCGTGCATCGCTGACCTTGAGGAGAAGATCGCTGCGGTGAGACATGAGGCATACTTGGTGTTGAGTACACGGAGATCAAGCTTGTGCCTTGAATACCTCATGCTGGCTGGCTCTCCTTCCATGTGTGCGCTTCGCACTTGCCGCTCCAGCGTGTCGACGAACGGACGGACTGGAATGCATGCGATGTGACGTGCTATGTTGGAGTTGCTTTTCAGAATTCTGAGATGTCTCAAAATCGAGTTTTGAGACGCCTCAAAATGCGACGTGACGTGCTACGTTGGAGCAGCTTTTGAGGATTCTCAAAAACGTTTCGCACTTGCCGCTTCAATATGTGGACGGACGGACGGACATGCGACGTGAAGTGATGATTCAGGTGTGTTTTGAGTCGACTCAAAACACACCCGGACGGACTGGAATGCATGCAACGTGAATTGATGATTCACCTGTCACTCTCCAACAAGGCGCCGCCTTTTCATCCCTCTGTCTTTCCCAAGGAACTCACATGTACACAACGTGTGCTGTCCTGTCTCTTGCCCCACGCTACGCAGATAGTGCGCGACACGAATGAGGAGCAGTTCGCAAGAGTGAAGGAGCAGAGCATGGCGGATGGCGTCAACGTGCGACGTGTGTGATTCACTGCATATTGTGGTCCCCTGTCCCTTGCCCCTCACCCCCCCATGCAGATAGCGCGCGACACCAATGAAGAGCAGCTGGCGAGGGTGAGGGAGCAGAGCGTGGCGGACTTAAAATACATGCGTAGGGGAGCGGCACCAATGAGGATTACGCAATTGACTTGCAAGAATGCCCTGTTCCTTGCCCCTCACCCTTGCCGCGCAGATAGCGCGCGACACAAACGAGGAGCAGCTGGCGAGGGTGAGGGAGCAGAGCGTGGCGGACGGCTTTGACGTGCGGGCAGTTGTGGAGATAGCACGGCGGTGAGCTTGAGGGAATGGGGAGGGCGAGGAAGGGGGGAGTGGGGATTGCAGCATTGCACATAGATGGCTTCGACAGCTTTGACAGGTGGCGGATGGCTTCGATGTGCGGGCAGCCGTGGAGATAGCAAGGCGGGAGAAGGGTTGCGCAGTGGTGGGTAAGGCGGAGATTGCGAGGAGGTGGGTGGGGGGGAAGGGAATGGCAGGCACATGGTGGGTAAGGGGAGGTGGCACAGAGGTGGATTGCTGCAGCTTGGGTGAATGGGAGAAAGCTCGGGGAATCCTTCAAGGGGAGCGAGGCGATAGCACGGCGGTCGGTTATTGTGTGCACTTAGCTTTCAGTGCCAAGGTCATGGCGTGTTAACTCAACTTGCAGAAGCCGGTATGTGTGCAGGAACAGTGCAGCACTCCCTCCCACTCCCTGTGTTTGCGGTGGTTATCTTCTGCTTATGGATATCTCCCTTGTTGCGCTTCCTATGGAGATCGCAGGGAGCTGAGCAGCAGCTGGGAGGCAACGAGGCTGGAAGCACTCGCATGGATCGCCACCCTTCTGCACCGCTTCCCACACCAGGTGTGCTTCTATGGTCGATTCCCAATCCAGGTAGGTTGAGTTGTTTCTTGAACCGCTTCTCACTCCAAGCGAGTTGGCTCTGACTTCGACATTGGTTTAAGTGGGTCTGGTTACCAGGCCAGGACCCAGATCACACCATTCCCACACAACTTCCCAGTCCATTCTGTTTTGCCTTCACACAACTCTGCATTCCTATCCTACTGCCCCGACCCCCTCCTCCCCCTACAGCTCCTGGATCTCATGGACGATCCCTCCACTGCCCTTCTCGAGTCCTTGCTTGCAGCGCTGGCAGACGACTCAGACCAGGTGTGCAGTGCGGTGCAGTGCAGTTCACTCATGATTTATGTTAAGCGTTGAAGGTGAAAACCCGTGTAGTTTAGTCCTCCTGCATGTGTACGGACCCAAAGCCTGCCCACTCTTTGGTATTTTTTTCCGCTACAGTGAATCACCTCCCTTTTCTTCCCATTCGGTGCTTCTAAAAAAATAGATGAGCATTCTTTGCTTTCTCGTTCCCCTGATCTCTTGGACCCTCACAGGTGGTGCTAGAGGCGCTGTCAGTGCAGGCCACAGTGGCCAGCCACCCCCACCACTTCCACCGTCTGCTGCTTTTCTATGTCGCCTAAGACAAGCACCTCTCTGCTCCCCTGGTTCCTGCAACCACACAACCATGCACCCAGGCAACCATCCATGTCATCGCAGGTGGTGCTAGAGGCGCTGTCAGTGCAGGCCACAGTGGCCAGCCACCCCCACCACTTCCACCGTCTGCTGCTTTTCTATGTCGCCTAAGACAAGCACCTCTCTGCTCCCCTGGTTCCTGCAACCACACAACCATGCACCCAGGCAACCATCCATGTCATCGCAGGTGGTGCTAGAGGCGCTGTCAGTAGTGGCCAGCCACCCCCACCACTTCCACCGTCTGCTGCTTTTCTATGTCGCCTAAGACAAGCACCTCTCTGCTCCCCTGGTTCCTGCAACCACACAACCATGCACCCAGGCAACCTTCCATGTCATCGCAGGTGGTGCTAGAGGCGCTGTCAGTGCAAGCCACAGTGGCCAGCCACCCCCACCACTTCCACCGCCTGCTGCTGCTGCTCCTCCTGCGCTTCAACTCCGACCGCGCCCTTCTTGACAGGTGCTCTTTCTCTGCATGCTCTCCCTTTCTCTGCATGCTCTCCCTTTCTCTGCGTGCTCTCCCTTTCTCTGCATGCTCTCCCTTTCTCTGCGTGCTCTCCCTTTCTCTGCATGCTCTCCCTTTCTCTGCGTGCTCTCCCTTTCTCTGCATGCTCTCCCTTTCTCTGCATGCTCTCCCTTTCTCTGCATGCTGCAATTACACTCCTACTGCACCCACCCTCAGCCTCATCCTCCTTGTCGCCTCTCTCCTTTTTCCCTTCCCCCCCCTCCTCCCCACCCACCCAGGCAGGGCAGCATCATCATCCGCCATCTCTGCGCCACGCTAGACGCACACAAGGTGCTCCGGGAGCTCGCCTTCATCCTGCAGAACGAGTCTGACTGCCAGTTCGCCGCCACCATCGTGCCCACTCCCACTCTCTGACCGCACCCCCCCCCCCTCCCCCCCTGCGTGCCCGTCCCAGGCGGGGCAGCATCATCATCCGCCATCTTTGCGCCATGCTGGACGCGGATAAAGTCTTCAGGGAGCTCGCCTTCATTCTTCAGAACGAGTCGGACTGCGAGTTTCGCCGCCACCATCGTGCCCACGCTCTCCCTTTCAACCTCATTCCACTCAACCCCCTACTGCTATCCCCTTTTTTCCTGACCATCCCCTTCCCCCTACTCAGGCGGGGCAGCATCATCATCCGCCACCTCTGCGCCATGCTGGACGCTGATAAAGTACTTCGAGAGCTAGCCTTCATTCTTCAGAACGAGTCGGACTGCCAGTTCGCCGCCACCATCGTGCCAACGCTCTCCCTCATCCTCCTCACCGCCCCCGAGCTCGCCCCCATCCGCTCCAAGCTCCGCCGCTCCTTCGCTGCTGCTCCTGCGCCCGCTGCCGTGACGACTCAACCCTCTTTCTCTGCCGCTGCTGCTGCTCATGCTGCTTCTGCCGCTGCTAGCCATCTTGCTTCTGCTGCTTCTGCTGCTTCTGCTGCTTCTGCTGCTTCTGCTGCTTCTGCTGCGGCTGCTGCAGCAGATGGTGCTGGGTCCTCGTTCTCTCCCTCTCCCTCCTCCGCCTCCCCCCCGTCTATGCTTGCGAGCGAGGGTGGGGGTGCGGGTGGAAACGGAGTGGGAGGACCAGGAATTGCAGCCACGTGCAGTGCACCCACAACAGCACCAGGAGCACCATCAGCAGCACCATCATCATCAATACCATCAGCAGCAGCGGCGGCAGCATGCAGTGGGAGGGGGTTGTTCCTGGCGCTGTACCCGGCGTGGTGCCACTCGCCCATCGCTGCAGTGAGCCTGTGCCTTCTGGCCCAGGCATACGAGCATGCATGGCGCATCGTGGACGCCTTGGAAGAGAGCGACCTCAGCCTCAGCCTCATGGTGCAGGTGCGTGGGTGGAGAAAAGTGTGGGGGGTAGAGGGGGTAGGGGGAGAAAGATAGATAGTAGCGCCACCCACTGTTATACACCCAGGCATACGAGCATGCGTGGAGCATCGTGGATTCTCTAGAGGAGAGCGACCTCAGCCTCAGCCTCATGGTGCAGGTGGGTGGCAGGAGTAAGGGGGGATAGACAAATAGTAGTAGCGCCACCCACTGCCAGCCAGGCACCCAAGTGTACGAGCATGCGTGGTGCATTGTGTATGCGTTACAAGAGAGTGACCTCTTCCTCAGACTCATTACAGGAGACAAGTGTCTGGGGAGGGACAGTGCCACCTACTGTTACTCACCCGGGCGTATGAGCATGCGTAGTGCTTGCAGTTAATAGAGCCTTCATTGACATTGGGCGAGGTTTAAATTGTTTTTGAGATGTCTCAGAATATTGGCGTTTGGATTATGCAATTGCTTTTCAAGATGCGCTTGTGTGCGTGCGTGTCTGTGTGAATTTGTGGATATGCATGTGCATATGGTTCTGTGCATGTGCATATGGTTTGTGCATGTGCATATGGTTCTGTGCATGTGCATATGGTTCTGTGCATGTGCATATGGTTCTGTGCATGTGCATATGGTTCTGTGCATGTGCATATGGTTCTGTGCATGTGGATATGGTTCTGTGCATGTGCATATGGTTCTGTGCATGTGCATATGGTTCTGTGCATGTGCATATGGTTCTGTGCATGTGCATATGGTTCTGTGCATGTGCATATGGTTCTGTGCATGTGCATATGGTTCTGTGCATGTGCGTATGGTTCTGTGCATGTGCGTATGGTTCTGTGCATGTGCGTATGGTTCTGTGCATGTGCGTATGGTTCTGTGCATGTGCGTATGGTTCTGTGCATGTGCGTATGGTTCTGTGCATGTGCGTATGGTTCTGTGCATGTGCGTATGGTTCTGTGCATGTGCGTATGATTTTGTGCATGTCGGACTGTGCAGGTGGACAAACTAGTGCTTCTGCTTGAAACGCCTATCTTCAGCCGATTGAGACTGCAGGTCAGTGGCCTCTTCACATGGTCAATCAGAGGCACGCACGTATTGCTTCTCTTTAGAAATATACTTTTCCAAGGTGACTTTTGAGTCGACTCAAAAGTCACCTCGCCAATGGTCGAGTTCCAAGGCGCCTCAAAACTCCAATCCTTGTGATGTGCCTCTATATGTTGAAAGGCATGCAGGCATGAAGGAACTTCAGAAGGCGCACTGCAAATGAAACTCTGTTCACATGCCTTCCCGTGATGTAACCATGCGTTCCATTATGTCATTATGAATCCGCCGTGGTTTCAATCAACAATGTGGTCGGATGCATTTTATCATGCTTGCATAGGCCATTCCACATGCACAGGACTCGGTACCTTAATTACTAGGATTCACATTCTCGTCCCTCTGCTGCCAAATCAGGTGCTGGTCCACCAAACAACTTCGCTCCTCCTCCCGTATCCCCCTAACAGCTTCTGGACCCTTCCCGCTCGCCAGCCCTCCTCAAGGCCCTCTACGGCCTACTCATGCTGCTGCCACAGGTTCGCATGTCTGCAGTTTGGGATGCTCATCACCATCCCTCAATGCACCAACCCGCTCATCACCATCCCTCAATGCACCAACCCGCTCATCACCATCCCTCAAGGAAAATCCTCCATGACCTGTTTGGGAATAATGACATTCTCTCTACAACGCGCTTCCTTCCACCCCCCTCCCCCAGTCCCTCAGTTTTTACATTACCTGTTTATGCTTCTCCACCTTTGCATATCTCCGTTTCCATCTGTCTCTCTCTCTCGTTCATATTTTTCCACCACCCCGTTCTCTCCTCTCCTCTCCCTCCTCCCCTCCATCGTCTCCCCTCCCTTCTCTCCCCTCCCTTGTCTCTCCTCCCTTCTCTCCCCGCGCTCCTCCATTCTTCCCCCTACCCCCTTTCACAGCACGGAGTGGCATTCAGAGTGCTGCACACACGCCTCTCCACCGTCCCCACCACCTTCCCCTTCTTGATTCCCTCTTTCTCCCTACCGTTTCCCATCCCTTCTCACCACTTCCCACCTCTTCCCACCCATCTTCCTCACAGCACGGAGTGGCCTTCAGAGTGCTGCACACACGCCTCTCCACCGTCCCCACACCCTCCATGCTCCATCCCACTCCTACCCCATCGCCCTTCTTCCCACTCCACTCTACCTCCTCCTACCTGCCTCACCCAGCAATCCCTCTAACCGCCTCCTTTGCACCTACCACACTCCCTCCACACCTCACTTCCGCTCCTGCCTCATTCTCCTCCAAACCCTCCTCTCGCTCCTCCTCCCCTCCACCTCACTCCTCCCTCTACGGCCCACTCCCCCACTCCCACCTCCTCTCCTCAGCTTCAACATCAGCGTTGGGATCTGCTTCGCAGCCCATTGCTATTCCATCACACAGCAGCAATGCCGGAGCAGCAGCAGGCACGGGAAGCAGCCAAGAGGAGCGCATGGGAGGAGGACAAAGCCCCTCTGCTGCTGCTTCCACTCCCATTGCCACAGCTGCTGTTCAAGCCATTCCCTCAGCAGGCCCAGCCTTCCCCCTCGCTGCTGCCGCCATGCGCAGTGCTTCTTTCAATGCCTTCCTCTCCCCTGCTGCCTCTGCTTCCGCTGCTTCCACCGCTGCTTCCACCGCTGCTTCCACCCCTGCTTCCACCGCTGCTTCAGCCGCTGCTGCAGCTGCTGCTGCACATGCCGTGCACTCTAGCACCGCAGATGGAGCAGCAGTTTCGCAAACCTCTGCTTCACAGGGTAATTTACCCTCTGCTGCAGCAGTACGATCAGGTAGTTGGTCCGGTGGCCCAGCAGCAGCAGTGCCTTCTATGGCAATGGCATCAGCAGGAGGAGCAGGTGTGGCCCTACCAGCAGGAGCAGCAGGAGCAGCAGAAGCAGCAATGATGAACGGATTTCGTGCTAGTGCCACCTTTCCCAACACCACCGCCGCCACCACCACTGCCACCAGCAGCAGCACAGACGGAAGCGGCTCATCACTAGACGGCCCGTCGCTCCTCCGGATATTTCTGGACATGCAACGGAGACACAAGGAACCAAAGGCCCCACCATCGGGCAGCAGGGGATGGAGCTCTGCTGGATCAGGCACGTTTGGTGGAGTGATGGGGGGGTTTCAGGGAGGGGGAGGCGGGGGAGGGGGGGTTGGAGGAGGTGGTGGAGGGGGAGGAGTGGGAGTGGGTGGAGCACAGTTTGGTACGGTTGGTGAAGATGGTGGTGATGATGGGCGGTTGGGGAGTGGGTTGGGGAGAGGAGGGTTGTCGCAGTCGCAGCATGGAGGTGGGGGGTTCTTTCAATCGTTACAGCAGGAGTAGGACAGCTGCTGCTTGCAATCTGCATAGAGGTACAGTGATTTGTGGTGTGGTTACTCTGTTCTGTGACCATATACAGTGGGATTAGTGGCAACGCCGTATGGTGTTTGATCGCACACTGTTTTGATTGTCTGCCTATGTGCGTCATAGCACATAAGGATATGAGGCTTATCTTATTGAGACCAGGGCCTCTGCTGCATGGGTAAAACGATATGATTTTCCGAGAGTGGTTTTTGAGATTCACTATAATCGTCCAGAAATTGTCTCAGGTAAAAGAATTTTATGTTTGGTCAGGTTTTCTAATCTGACCAAACAGAAAAGTTCTGATGTATTTGTGGATAACATGGAATGTAGTGGGCCAACTGCGTTAAACACACCGTTCATTTATCTGTGCATCAGTTCGAAATCGAGCCTGTCAATACCATGGATTTCTCTGGAATTCTCTTGACGGAGGAAGCCGAGTCAAACGCCCCAGAGTCAACGAGTCTTCCCCGAACACTCCAGCCGACAGTCAGCGTGAATCAAGCTTCAGAAGTCAGATGTGATATGGTGAGGCTGGTCTTGACGAAAGAATGTCGCATTACCATCTATGTCGTGAATTCCAACATTTTGTGGTGAACCTTCGGCGTCAGCGAAAGAACACCATCTCGCAAGCGCTCGCGAATTATCGAGAATCTCTGAGGGTGTGGATGTTGCTGTGGCCTCCTCGTGCGCTTCGGTTTTTGAGAGCACACATAAATTGTGGTGCCACAATCCTCAGCTCATCAATCAAAATTGTTGTGAGGGAGATCCTTCTAGCTTGTGTCTCAACCTCTCTTGCACCAACATACTTGTATGAACAGCAATTATACGGCAGCACACGAGACAAGCCTGAGTCGCTGGACTTAGTAATTTTCGCTCTTTCCGCATTTTACATTGCCTGATGCATCGACGCATGATGGCGGCCTCGCCTGGCTTGCGTCGTAAGGGCACGAATGGTCTGGTCATGCTTCTCCTGCTGCTGGGCGCCGCGCTTCTCTGCTTCCCTCAACAAAATTCGCAAGCCCACATCCAATGCCCAGATCTGGGTTTTCCCCATCTATGCGCCCCGACCATTGCACGCGCAATCACTAAGCACACTTCGAGCAGTGTTTAGACGAGTAGCCATTGCTGTAGCATTGGAGAAACATTTGCACACACAGCACAACAATGCCTCCCCCTTCCCATTGTCTCTGCAGCCCTTATTGCAGTTCGCAGCCTAACTGCCCCGCACGTGCCAAATTGGGTTGGGAGAGCGAATTCACAACGGTTCTGTTCGATGTACAGTGGCGTCGTTGGAAAACAACGAACGGCAAAGCGAATTGGTGTCAGTGGTGTTGGGTCAACAACGAATCTGCTCGAAGCTGATATTGAATTCGCTTTGGCTAAAAAATGTAGCGTTATAAAAGTCACTTCTATAGCGAAACATCGATTGGATAAGGCATGACTGACGTGTCAAATTCGTAGTGACTGTGTTCACATTCAGATACGACAGCGCGGATGTGATGTTGGGTTGTTTGGCGAACAGAAGCCAACAAAGCTTTTGGTTTCCAAAATTCGCCAGAATTCGTGGGGATCTATCTAAGCCTCAAGGTTCAAACGACCCCTGAAATTCGCCAGCCTTCGCCAATTTTCACGTGCGAAATAACACGAGATGCTTCTCTCCCACGCTCAAATTCACTCTTCTGTTCAACACCTTTCCATTTCCTTGCATTGTTATCTTCACTCACTCAGCTTCCGCGGTGCTCTAGCTGCTCATCTCTTCCTGCCTCATGTACGTGTTCCTAATATTTGTCTCTGTTTTCCCTCTTACCACGTCCCTCTAGCAGGGGATCAAGAGCCTGTTGTGGGGAACGATTTCTGCTGTGATATTTGACTGGCTGCATGAAGCTCTCGATTAGGCTACTTCTCACGCCCTACACCCACAGGTATTCATGATCAACTCAGGTGAGTATTGTCTACTGCGACCAATGCGTATTGTCTACTGCGACCTCGTGGGTACATTTTTCTTTCCAGAATACCAGCGCGCATGACTACACCACTCTCTATATAAGCGGACTTCCGAGATTATCACCAAGCGTCCAATTGTGAAAGTCTACTTAGGCTGACTTGCAAAGGCAGCGTTATCATTTCATATGGGTTCTAGTACATCGTTCTCGTCGTATACAAGTCTACATAACAGCATACACAATGGGGTGGGCGGGTGGGAAATTAGAACTACAAATTGAGAAATGAAGACGTGGGTGGGGACGAATGTCCCCACGTCCCTCTTTTGTAGGCAAAAGATGGTGAGTAGCGCTTCGGCGCTACCTTTGCTGTGTTGGCCACGTACCCCTTTCACAATACAAAATTTTAGAAAGTGTTACATTTCATTACACTTTCAAAAATTATCATATTGTGAAAGTCTACTTAGGCTGACTTGCAAAGGCAGCGTTATCATTTCATATGGGTCTTCTGAGGCAAGTGCAGTCGGGGCTGGCGGTGCCGTTCGATTGATAGCTGATGCGTGGCGGGTGAAGGAGCCGCCGAAGGATCCTGCAACTGCGTGGAGAGGGAGATGAGCTGATCATGCGCGATTGTAACGTACATCTCCTTCGCGCTGTCGCTGCGCCATCGGCCCATGCGTTTGAAGAGCCGGTCAGGAACTCCGAGGCTTGCCGCCGCAGTGGCTGCGCCTTTGCGGAACGAGTGGGTTCCGATGTGCGCGACATCCAGTCCAGCCTGCCTGCCAGCCGCGAGACACCAGTTTCTGATCGTGACGTAGGATGGCGATTTGTCGCCCGGCGTGGCTTGCGAGTTCTTTGGAAAAACCCTTATTAGCGGCCCATGGGGCACCTTTGTGAGGCCTGCGATGCGTATGAATTTGCGTGTGCACCGCACTGGGCAGTATGGGCCGGAAATTGCTGCCACTGGGATCCAGACACCCCTCCCTTCCTGGTCCGTCTTGGAGTGCGGGATGTGTGAGAATGAGAACGAGAATGAATGAACTATGAAATGAAGTGAGTACAAATATGAAACCCTAATTGGTTGTACCCCCTATGGGATACCCCACTATAGCCTACACAACAGCATAAGCTATAATGTTCTGACACACCCCCATAGGCAAAGTGGGGGAGAACAAGGGGTCACAAGACCAGTCAAGCAAAGCAAAGCAAAGCAAGCTCAGGGTGGATCACAAAGTCACCACACAGTCCGAGCACAGGGTCAAGGCCACACGGCCAGTTCACATGCAAGAGTACACACATATATATAAAGCTAGACAAGCAAGGGCAGGTATATATATATGTGAGAGTACAAGCAAGGTCAAGAGGAGAGCAAGTGAGGCAAGACGGGCACAAGACCCAGCTGAGTGCAGAAGCGCTGATGATCACAAGGCGGAAGTGCCTTGGTGAAGACATCAGCAGTGTTGGCCTCAGAGGCCACGTACGCAAGCCGCAACTGTCCACGTTGCTGTAGCTCACGAGCAAGGAAGTAGCGGAGAGCAATGTGCTTTGTTCTGTGCTCCAGTCGCTGCTCTCGACACAAGGCCAGCATGGCCTTGTTGTCTACGTACAGGACTGGAGGAGAACGAGGCGGCTCTCCAAGGTCGGTCAGCAGGTAGGTGAGCCAGCGAAGCTCCTGTGCAGCCATGGCCCCGGCGTAGATCTCAGCCTCACAACTCGAGCCAAGAACAGAAGACGAGCGAGTAGCCCGCCACGAAACAGAGCCGGAACCAAGGCTGAAGGTGTAACCCTGTGACGACCGCTGCGTAGCCTGGTCGTCAGCCCAAGAAGCGTCCGCGTGCCCAGTGAGGACCACTGGACTCCGCCCTCCAAGCACTAGCCCCATGCCCGACGTACTGCACAAGTAGCGCAACACCCTCTTCGCTGCAGCCATGTGCTCTGGTCTGTGTCTCCCAGGAGCAACATAGCGTGCAAGAATGCTAAGAGGGTATGCAAGGTCAGGTCGTGTGCAGGTCATCAGGTACATGAGGCAGCCAACAAGCTCTGGGTACGGGCCACTCGACTCTACGGACTCATCCGAAGGCAGAGCTGAGAGCGAGTGGCGAATAGACAGAGGAGTGGCCTGAGGCGAGGAGTACGTGAAACCGAAGCGCTGAAGGACCTGCTGCACCATGTGTGACTGAGTCAGGGTAATGGTGCGGCGTGCTCTGTCCCGGGTGATCTGCAAGCCAAGGTAGCTGCGCAGTTCACCCAGGTCTGTGCACGTGTGTCTCTTCTGCAGCTCGGACTTCACGTAGGCGAGTCCAGCAGTGTCAGCTGTGGCAAAGACCAAGTCGTCGACGTACACGAGGATGTAGAACGGCGGCAGAGAGGTGTCGGTGCGTAGAAACAGCGACGGGTCGGCAGTAGAAGGAGCAAACCCAAGAGCCGCAAGCGTAGTCCTCAGTGTGTCGTGCCACTCACGTGGCGCCTGGCGGAGACCGTAGACTGGACGCCGGAGACTCCACTGGGTACCAGGAGGGAAAGACCCAGTGAAGCCAGGTGGGCGACGCAGCCAGATCTCCTCGTGCAGGCTGCCCTGCAAGAAAGCTGTGCTGAAGTCAAGAGAGTGCAGCTCGTAGTCACGGTGAGCAGCAACGTGCAGCAGTACCCGAAGAGTGGTCATCTTCGGGGTGGAGGAGAAGGTCTGAAAGTAGTCAACTCCCTGCCGCTGACTGAAGCCACGAGCCACGTAACGCGCCTTGAAGACAGGCGGAGAACCCGGCGGCCGCTTCACCCTGAAAATCCACATGCCACTGACGATGTTCGCCCCAGGAGGGGGGACAGCGTCAACGTAGGTGCCTGTGGACTTCCAGGAAGCCATCTCTGCATCCATAGCTGCCTGCCACTGAGAGGAGTAGGGACCCTCTATCGCCTCCGCGTAAGAGCGCGGAGTCGGGATGTCAAGTGCATCCGGGTCTCCCTCAGGGGTAAGCAGTACGGACACGAGATGAGGTGAAGCAGCGGCCAAGCACTGGAACTCCTCCTGCCTGTCCTCAAGGA